CCGGCGTGCCGGGCTCGGCATATGCATAGTACGTACGGGAAGGAACAGCATGCATATGCACATCGGTGGGATCCAAGCGCAAGGAGCCAAGGCCGCCTCGCCTCCGCATGCCGACCGGTCCATGCAGGGTCAGGCGGGGGGCCCACGCGCTGGAATACTTGTCCGCGGTCAGTCGGGCAGGCGCGATCGGGACGGGCGGACACATCGGAGCCGGCGCCGGCGTATGCCGGGCTTGTCTCGGCGTGGCGTGGCCCGGGGAGAGGGACGAGTCGTCGGCGATCAGATGTGATAGGGCGCGTCAAAGGCTGCTGCCGCTGCCGCTGCCCGGCACAGGCGCGACGCGGGGCCAGCTGCATGCGATCGACGGCGTGGAGCGGAGGCGCGGAGTCCTGGTCGCGGTCGCCGGGGGGCACCGGCATGGCATGGCAGCGACAGGAACACATCAGCTGAGCTCGGGCCAGGGCTATGGATCTAATATAGGCGCCTATTTGCCGCCGCCTCGGTCCGGGAACCCTTGTCCTCTTTACATGCCCGGCTCCCGAGGTTCTCACATGCATCTTCCTCCGTCTCCGCCGAACTGGTTCCGGGTAAAGGTAAATGCGATTCAGAGAAAGGTCCTGAACTCAACTAATGCAGCACTTAGGCCAACTCCACCGTCACCCCGTCCTGTCCGGCCCGTTCATTTGAGGTAAAAGAGACAAATCGGGCGACCCAGCGCGCGGGAGCAAACGGACTTTTGTCCGTTTTGTGTCCGCTTTTGACCCATCCCCGGCCCAAGTTTGCACCGATTCTGGGTGAAACAGACAGCGCGCGGACGGGCGGAACACGCGCGCTTGTCCGTCCTTGGCCCGCCTATCAGTGACAGAAAGCAAAAAGAAACCCGTGTCCCCTTTGGCGCCATTTTCCCCCAAACTCTCCCACGTCCCGCCGCCCCCTCCCTCCCCCGTCCATGCCCGACGCCCAGCCGAACTCCGGCGGCCTGGCCGTCGACCCGCCCGGAATAGCCAAGAAGAAGGAGGGCAAGGCGCCAAGGAAGCCGCGGTCGGAGTGCACGCCAGAGGAGATCGCCAAGTTGGACGTGGAATCGACGAAGAGGAGGAACCGGAGGGCGGCCGTTAAGGACAACGCCGCCGCGGCCAAGTTCGCCGTCGAGCGCTGCGATGGAGGCCGCGCGGCGCAAGACCGAGGTCGAGGAGAAGGAGGCCATCGTTAACAAAGCGCACACCCTCTTCATGCTTGGCATTTGTCGTCCAACCGGTTTCTCTGCAGCGGCCGTCGGTCCGGCGAGCACAGGCTCGTCGGCCTCCCGGCCTTCGCACTGCCAGTCGCCGACGTCGCGGACCACGCCTATGTCGCCCGGCTTCCCCCCACCAAGGCACGACGACCAGACCCGTTTCTCGGGGTCGCCGGACGTGAGCGTGATCTCGCCGTCCACCTCGCGCCCGCCGGCCGTCATCTACCTCAACGTCACACCTGGGTCCAACAGCGGTGGCTGTCTGTCCGTCGAGATGCAAAGAAAGCAAGCACGACCGCCATTTACGGGGACCATGCCGTCCCCCCGCGTCTTGTTCGACGGAATGCCAACACCAACGCCATTGGTCGACGACCCCTACTACGACCAGTTCATGGAGGAAGTGATCTACGAGGTTGGGCATGTCCCTGCCTATGATCCCGACGAGACCCAAAGTCAGGATGGTCGCCCCCAGTTCGTTGCCGATAAAGAGGCCGAAGACCGTGCTGACTACGACCATGATGATTCGTGGCATGAAGACGATGACATCTATGTCGAAGATGATGGTGATGAAGAAGAAGGCAATGACATTAATATTAGTGGCGAGCCATTGTTCATCGACGAGCTCACCCAAAGAGCGGAAGCACAAAAGAGGAGGAAGAGCATTCGCATGGGTTCATATACACAAGATGAGGACAAGTTGATTTGCCAATATTGGATGAAGATTAGCCAAGATCTGAGGACAGGCGCACAACAAAAGAGCCTAGTTTTTTGGACGAGAGTCCACAAAAATTTCCATGAAAGGAAGATGTTTGAGCCCTACCAAATCACAAGCGACTGTGGCATCACCTCGATTCAAAAGAGGTGGTTGTTCATACAACAAGAATGCAACAAGTATTGCGCCGCATTTGAGAGCGTTGAAGCACGGCCCGTGAGTGGTCTCGACGTTGGGGACATGGTATGCTCTCCTCATCCTAGTTCTTTCCTTGCTACGACCATGAGACTTCGGCCTTGTATACGTTTGCATGTCCAATTCTTGTTGATCTTGTGGTGTAGGCATTTCAATCTTTGAAAGCATTCAAGGTCCGGCACAATGACAAGCCATTCACTCTTACGCATTGTTGGACGATCATCAACAATTGCCCTAAGTTCAAGGATCAATACCATGAGCTTCAAAGGAAGAGAGGCAGGAAGACGGCCAAGTTCGCCGGAGGTGGAGATGGCGAGGCGTTGAAGAGGCCGAGGGGCAAGACCAACTCCAAGGTGGAAGACATACATGATGCCTCATCCATGGCCTTGCATGAGACATTGCATGGCATGATGTCTCAAAAGGATGTGAGGATGAGAAGAAGCGACAAAGCAAGGACGCGCAAATGAAGCAATACCTAGAGCTTCAAAGGAAGAAGCTTGAGATGAAGGAGGCAGCCAAGAGATAGAAGATCGACATGGAGGAGGCGGCCCGACAAAGGCAGCTCGACATCGAGGCCGACAACGTCAAGGCCAGGCAGAGGCAGCTCGACATCGAGGCCACCAATGCAGCAACCAAATCGAAGGAGGTGGCCCTTGCGATAATGAGCGTGGACTTGACCAAGATGAGTGAGAAAGACGAGGAGCTGGTTCGAGGCCAGGCAGAAGGAGATGTTCGACGCCGACGACCTGAACTAGGTCGTCCGATCGGCCGTGGCCATTCTTTTTTGGAGGCTGGCATGGGTGCCGCCCCGCTGGGCCGCTGGCTGTGTGCCGGCGAGAAAACTGATTCATTTTGAAGGCTGGCTGTGTTGCCCGCGAACAAAACTATTCATTTTGGAGGCCGCCTGTGTTGTCGGCCGCTGATTGTGTTCCCGGTGAGGACGTGTAGGCCGCTGGCTTTGTTGCCGGGCATGAACTAGGGCCGCTGGCGTGAACTATGCCGCTGGTATTTGAAACGTTGTTGTTTGAAAATGCAGGCGGACAGGATGGGGCCAAAGGATGCGGCCGCGCGCTGGGCGCACGGCCACCGCATCCCAGGACAGGCCCGGACACGATCCCATCGCCCTAACCAAACGAACAAAATCTGGGCAAAACGGACGTCCGTTTGGGGTCGTGCGGTGGAGTTGGCCTTAGAGCAAGTAAAATGGGGACATACGCAATGCTGTAAGGACTAAAGCATTAGTATATCTTTCTTTAGTTGAAGAAGAGAGAAGAAAAGTGGGTGGTAGAATAAGAGTCGGCTATAGCACGAGACCCAAGACATTGTGAGTTGGGAGCGCTATGCGTCGGCCGGCGGATCTTTTTAAAAAATCCGCCGCCTCGCGAGCCACTGAATTAAATGCTGGGTGGTCATTAGATTGAGCTGCCAGCTTTGCCACAAGCATGATGTTCATTCAGAACTTTTGCAACAAGCTAATGTTGCGGAATTTTGTATCGCTCCGAAAGAAAGTTTTGCAACATCACTCATGTTGCAGAAATCTTTCTCGCAACAGGAAGAATGTTTCAAAAGAGCCCGGCAACGATATTGTTTGCAACAGGGGTCGGGTTGCGAAAACGCTTCTGAAACGTGTGTCAAGTTGTAGGAAAGTGAAGTAATGGAGGTTGGCTCCCCACCACCTGATCAATAACACATCTGACGGCCAGGGAGGCAGTCGACGCGAGCGGATAGATCTGCCGGGTAAACACAAGCGTTTCCCGAGTTGTAACATGGGCCAACTATTAATAAAGTAATACATACATAATTAAAACTTGCTATTGTATAAGCCGGCTATTAGGTTGACTCTACTCCCTCCGTCCAGGTGCATAAGTCGTCTTAGATTGTGCACGCAACTAAGGCGGGGGAAACGAGAGAACTTAATGTTTATTTACTAATTAATAGTATTGCATGCAATGAACTAACCACAACATGTCGTGCTTGGTAGTCTCAAGTCATTGAAAGTATGCATGCCGCACATCTCTTATTGGTTGATATGTCAAGAAAAAGAAACGAGGTGAGATAAGAGTTAATGCACAACATCTAAGTGTTTTAGAATTATTTGATTTTCGTAAGATGACTTATACGTCTAGACGGAGCGATTAGATGACATGACAACTTCATGATTGGCTATATTATTAATCATGCTCTCAATCATGACTTTCACCCTGCGTAGATTTTAACGAGGGTAGAGGTGGGGAGTGGTAAAATATTGTCCATTTTTTACCCTCAGTGTCGTCTTTCGAAGTTTCGAGTGAATCTACCTTGCCACTCAATAAAAGCCAGAGGCAGAAACACGCTGCAGATGGTAACAGTAGTATAGCTAGCAGTAGCATGTTGCTGTAGTACTAGCTTGGCAGAGCTCCTACGTAGCAGTGGTAAGCTAGCCGTGGGAAATGCATCACGAATAATACTTATGCAAGCAAAACACTGTATAGAATGGGGGAAAAGCCATTTACTTTTACTGTTGGGTTTCAAAACTGTCTGGTGCGGGGAGCATACACGTCAGCATTCAGGTAGGCTCACAGGATTCCTTGTCCTGCAAAGATCGAAAGCAACTCTACATGGTCAGTCCCTGCACCCTGCGTACTCATCCCCTCAGCCTTCTGTCACCCACCGTACCATCACCCACAACGCCTATCCAGCGCCCACACTGTCCACACACCTTCTCTCGCTCACTCACTCTGGTTCACGCCGTGTATATATACGCCCTCGCACTTCAATCCCAAAACTCACTGGTATCTAGCCAAGTTAGCTCGAGTTCCATTGCCATAATACGAGCATCTACGCACCCACATTGGACCTGCAGGGCCAACCTCGAACGCCATGGAAGCTCCTCTGCACCAGCTGGCCCCCATGCAGCAAGCACTGCTCGCCCATCCCCAGAACTGCAAGCACGACGCCGCGGCGACGATGGCCGCGACGGACATGGCCTGCGTCCAGCAGCAGCAGCAGCTGTTGCAGCTGCAGCCGGCGGCGGCGAACCCGAACACGCCCTCGGCCGCGGCGCGGGAGCAGTGCCCGCGGTGCGCGTCGCACGACACCAAGTTCTGCTACTACAACAACTACAACACGTCGCAGCCGCGCCACTTCTGCCGTGCCTGCCGCCGCTACTGGACGCTCGGGGGCTCCCTCCGCAACGTCCCCATCGGGGGCTCCACCCGCAAGCGCCTGCGCCCGGCGCCGCAGCAGGCGATGCGCCGCCCGCCCGTCCACTTCGGCGCGCCTCCGCCACCGATGCCGGCGCAGTCGCACTCCCAGCAGGCTCCGCAAGGCGGACTTCTCAGCTCGCTGTTCGCGCTAGGCGGGGCGCCGCTGTTCGAGGGCCGCGTCGGGTTCGACCTCGGCCTCGGCCTGCCCGGGCTGAGCCAGGTGGGGCTCGGCGGCAGCGCCGGGGAGTTCGGCCTGCACTCCCTCGGGCTCCGGGGCGGCCATGCAGGGACGTCGGCGCCGATGCTCTGGCCAACTGCGTTCTTGGACAACGGCAATGTGGACACGTGGAAGGTGTCCGGCGGCGGGGCGGCTGCCATGTGGGCGCCGGAGTTCTCTTCTGCGCCGACGGTAGCACAGGTCGGCGGCAATGGCATGTTTCATGGCGGGGCCCAGATAATGGGACAACTGTGAGAGTGGTCAGTAGTTTGTGCGCGTACGTGATGGCTCATGCATGTGTCTGCTGGATTGTTTGTGTAGGTGTTAATTTGTTGTGCAAGTGCATGGCTCGTGTCGTGTCTTGTTCACGTAGTACGTAGTGGTACAAGGAGAGGCCTGTCTAGTTTACAGTTTTGGTTCCACAGGGGTAGAATGGTCTCTCATGTGTCTTATAGCGTGCGTTTTTCTACAGGTCTGATGATGTTATTTGTTGGGTACTTGTTTACATGCATGTTGATGTTATGATTATATAATTTACATTATTATCTATAGATTGAGTTTGCTCTCCTTTTCTTTTCTGAGAGAGAGTCTCAAAGTTTGGTGCATGAACGATCTTCAAAGAATTGTTCAGACCCAACTGAAAAAAGAAATGTCCAAACGATCGTAATTGAATCTAAAAGTTTCATAACTTCGAATACATCTCACTTTTTCATGAGCGGAAAGTCTGTAATAGTATTGCATTACTTCGTGCAGATGATGCTTCATAGAAAACATACCCCCTCTGTAAAACGTCTTACATTTATGTACAAAGGAAGTATTACTTGATGCAGATGATGGAGGATCAACAAAATTCCTTTTTGTTCTCAAAAATCATTTTCTTATGAAGATATCATTTTCTTGCTCGGTTATTCAACTATTTTCAAAAAGGGACCTCCTATTCATCGGCCGGTGTGATGGAAAAGAGCTAAACATGCACCGCCCACACGCCCTTTCGAGCAACCCATTTGCGAGGCATCTCTTTCAAAAAATATATTTTCTGTTTCTTTTTTCATTTTCTGCTTCCTTAGATCTAGTTCGGGATGTCAAAAAAGGCTCATAAAATTTTAAAAATCGCAATTTTTTAAATGTTCATGAATATTAAATCACAACTTTTAAAAAATGTCCCACATTCTAAAACATATTTACTGATTTGGTAAAAAAAATTGGATTTAAAATTAGTTAATCAAATTTACAAAAATGTTCATTAATTCAAAATATGTTTCCTAATCAACAAAAAAACATTTATTAAAAAATATATGCAAAATTTTTGAATTTCAAAAATCAAACATGAACAAGAAACGAAAATGACAGAACAATAAAAAACAAAACCCCCCAAAAAATAATACATAAACCGGTCTGGCAAGGTTCTAGAACCGGATGGGGAGCCTACGCAAGTTGGGCCGTCCCAAATTCACCTAGCAACCACCAGGGGAGGAAGGGTCACGTTTGATTGATAAACGTCAACCTACATGATAAATTTTCCTAAAAAAGACCTACATGATAAATAGGGGATCACCTTCGTAAAGAGGCAAATGATAGTGCAGGCAGTGAGGGCGAGCTGGGGCCATGGCCTGGGCCAACATAGATAAAATTACATTGTTAGAGCTACTAATATGACATTTTGGGAACAAATAATTGTATTTTAGTGGTTCTGGCCCTCCCCAACCGTGAAGCAGCAGCAAAAGACCCCTCTCATACAATTTTCCTGGCTCCGTCCCTGATTGCAAGCAGGAACTCCTATACCGCGCGGGGAGGGCCCCCATCACGGCAGCGTGTACGCTCGCGCCAACATGAGCGCCCTATTGGCCCGGCCCATGTGCGGGGAGGGGCGCCCCCTTTTTCCTTTTCATTTTTTACTTTTCATTTTTGGTTTTTATTTTATTATATATTAAAATAATACGGGATTAGTTCTAAAAATTTAAAAAAATTTGAATTGTGAATTTTCAAAAAATTTCTTGAATAAAAAATGTTTTGATTCAAAAAAGGAACATTTTTGGAATTTTAATGAACAATTTTTGATAATGATGAACATTTTTTTTATATTTCATGAACAAGCATTGAATTCAATGAACATTTTTTGAAATTTATGAACAAAATTTGTTTCAAAATATTTTATTGAAAAAAATAGATGAAGAAATTTTGATTTCAATGAACAAATTTTGAATTTGATGAACATTTTTGCAATTTGACAAACAAATTTTGACTTTTGATGAACATTTTTTAAATCCGATGAACAAAAATGAATTCGATGAAAAAATTTTGTTGAACATTTTTTCTTAGATTGATGATTTTTTTTTTGAATTCCATGAACAAAACAATGTTCACGAATTTATAAAGAAATTCGCAAAATGGTAAAAGTAAAAAAGTATGTAATTTGAAAGAAAATGTTTAGGTATATGGAAATCTGTTCATGATTTCAAAAAACTGTTCACGATTTCAAAAATTGTTCATGAATTTGAAAAAGATATTTGTAAATTTAAAACAAAAAAGGAAAATAAAATAGAAAAAAAATCACGAATTGAAAAGATTTTTGCGAATTGAAAAAACAAGAATAAAAAATAAAAGGAAAACAAAAAAGGAACCAAAAAAAAGGAAAAATAATAAAAAAGAAAAACCGAAACAATAAAAAGTAGAAAATCGGTTTAAGGAAGGTTCTGGAACCTTCCCAAAACATGTTGGGTGTGAATCCCATTAATGGGTCGGCTTGAGGGGGGTACGCGTTAAGTCGATACCCATCGACCAATCAAAATCACTAATTGAGGAGCGCTCCCCCCAACGATTAGTCGGGAAGCGCTCCCCGCGCACCAAGTGTCACGCGTGGAGCGCTCCTGAGACTTTTCTGATGCGCTCCGCGCGCGACACGTGGCGCGCGCACGACTTCTCCCGTGATTTCCGGTTTTTGGTTTCCCTTTCTGGTTTTCCTTTTTTCACTTTAGTCCTTATACTTTTAATGTTTTGTAATACCTTTTGATCTGTTTTGAGATCTGTTTCTCTCTAGTGTGGGCGAACCCTCATTGCGCACCGTTCTTTCTTTGTCGTCGTCTCTGCCCGTTGCGGCCGCTGCTCTTGTCGCGTGGTTACGGCGATAGCTGTTCTGGCCGCCGCGCTTGTTGCCTGCTCTTACGGCAGTCCTTCTTTAGCGTCGAGCGCACTTCCCCGTTCGCGATATCGTCGTTCCCTACTGGTTGCCTTCGTGGGTTCCCTGTTTCCCTTTCTCGTTTCTCTTTTTGTTCCCATTATATTTCCGGGATATCGAGATTTATGGGGTAGTTACGGGTGGGGACTACCAATACTATCAGATGCCAAGTTTCAACTGGGTTTTGTGGGGTTAGTTCTTGATAACCATTGTGTTCCTTTGCAGTTATGGCTTTTCCTTTTTGCCGTATGCCTGGTGGCCCGTGTTCTTCTATTGATTCTTTTGTAGATGGGTTCAGTGTGGTCCTGGATCGGCGTTGTTGGAGGCATGTTGTAAGAAAATCATTTTATAATTGTTCAATTTTTGGCATACACGCTTATTTCTTTTGGTGCTGCCCATGCTGTTTAGATTTTGATTATGATCCTTGTTTTGATTTGTTGTGCAGTATGTTCCGTGTAGTGTTAGAGCTCATCTTGCTCGTCACATCGAGGAGTGTAGGGCTTTAGCCGTAAGGAGGGGTGACGAAGATACTGATCTTGCTCTTCAGTGCAATGAGGGTTATTTGTATGGTGTTCTGTTTAGTCATGGTCGGGTGAGGAGCAAATTCCATGGTCCTTCCTGGGAACGATTGGTCAGTGATTATGGCGTTCATCCTCGTGATATAATGACCATTAGGCTTGAACATTATGGAACTTGGATTGGTATTGATTTTTATCGTGTTGGTCGTGGAGATGCGTTGTCTCCTTTACCGTCTGTTGGTAAGGTTTATTTTTATGGAAGTTTTTATCTTGTTTTATTGTACATTTTGATTTTTCTGTTCCTTGAGCCTGTGTAATTATATTTTGTAGCTCTACATGGTTTGAGAGACTCCGAGAAGGAACTTGTTGGGAGTTGTTATTACATTCGTGGTGTTTTTCTTAATTATCAGCAGATGTATTTCATGAGGTGTCAACTATTTGATGATGAGTACATACCCTGTTGTCCTTTTGTTCACAGGATTGATTCCATGAATGTTAATGGTCATCATATGGTCAGATTTTTTTCCATTGTTTTTTCTTTGTTTCTGTTTATTTATTTATTTTTATTACCTCTTCTATTTATAGTTTTGAATTCTTATTCTATTTCTGATAGCTTGATATTTTTTGTCAGGTTATTCCTGGTATTGTTGTGAGGAGTTTGAAGGAGTTTGTGACTTTTCCTAGGACTGGCATTTTAACTCTTGAAGTTACTCTGGAATCTGGTGATGATGATATATATGTGAGCACTCCTTGCTCCTACTTCATTGGTTTGGGTAATAGAATGGTGTTCAAATAGGAAGGTTTCAGTGATTTTCTCCTGGCATGGTCTATTGAAGTAAACAACTTGGTGCTAATAACTTTCAAACAACATGTTGGGGGGCTTGTTGTTATCTTGAAGCTTCTGCCGCAGTGATGTTAGTTATAGCCTTTGAACATAATGGATTTTGTTTAAAAATCTAGGCTGCGGTTTAATGTTATTTAGATATATGAGACGACATGAACCTAACTGTTCATTGCTGTTGTTCGTTTGTAGAAGAGGCATGGCTGTGCATCTCTTTTAAGGATGTTTTTTTGGACGGATGTTATTTAATTGTGTTCATAGTTGTAAATACAGTAGATGCACGTGTGTTGTTTACTCTGAGGCATGGCTGTGCATCTCTTTTATGTGAGAGGCACCTGGATTCAGCAAACAGAGGCACAAAATTGAAGTCAGAACAGGCACGGTTGTGTGGAGGCACGCGTATACTGAGAGGAGTGTGTGTGGAGCACCAAAGTTGGACGGGCGATCATGCGTGCGGAGCACGTAGAGTTACTGTGGGTTTCATGTGAGGCACGTGGATTAAGCAAATAGAGGCATGGAATTGCAGTCAGTACATGCACGGTTGTTTGGAACACGGGTGTGCAGCACCAAAGTTACACGGGCGATGACGCGTGCCGAACACGTAGAGATATTGTGGGTTTCATGCGAGAGGCACGTGTGTGTGTAGCACGTAGAGTTACAGTGGGTTTCATGTGAGGCACGTGGATTGAGAAAATGAAGGCACATAATTAAAGTCAGTACA